CCCAGGTTGCCCTCTGATTTGAGATCCTCAACTTCAGCTTCCTAAATGCTGGAAGATTTACAAGTGAACGCCCCCACATAGGACTTGCGTTCTATTAAACTATCCATCTGTACGTAAGAAATTTAGGGAGATAGGCTTGGAGAAAAGGGAGAGATTAGACAAGCAAGGTTGAAATAATGCCCTCACCCCAGACTTTCCATTATTTTTACTGCACACTAATAATAAGGAAGGAGAGAAGCCTCAGACAGCTACTTAGTAATTCTATCTTTATATCAAAACTGGAGGAACAGTTCCTGGCAACATAGATAAACCAACATGGCTAGGAAAACTATCTGACACCCCCTCACAAGTCTTAGGGTCTAAGAAAAAAAGATTTCATTTTACCGCTAAGGCCGAGGATCATTTGTAGTGAAAGAGATCAATGTTGCTCTCTAAACAAGTTCAAATGTCTCAATCTTTCCCGGCAACCTAAAAACAATGCTAGTCCTAAAACACTACTTTAATTGTTTGGTAGATCGTGCATCGCTCTTTGTCAACCGCTGTTTCATTTGATCTCTGTAAAAAAAAAAAAAACCCTTCCACAGCAGGCAAGGAAAATATTGGTGTCGTCATTTTACAAGCAAAGAGGAAAGCCTAAAGACACTAAATGACTGACCTAAGGCTACCGATAGTTAGGAAAGAGTCAGGATTCCGACACTTTTCCTATGTAGTCCTGCCTAGCTGAGAGGAAGATCTCCGAAAGGGCAGAGGAGAGGGGGTCGAGCAACAGAAGGGTCTGTCTCTCTTGCTAAGTGAGGTCTATTGCTGAGGGTTCTCTGACTCCAGGGGACCCAGCATTAGTTTGTTAAAGTTTGGTTCTAACAACCTACAAAAGGTAACGTTGCTATAAGTCCCGCCTGTAAATGCGCTGTTTCTTACCCTTTGTCTTGGTCCCGCTTCTTATTTAAACTCTTAGCTTTCTCTGTGGTTTCTGGTCTCAGCGTCTCACCCCAAAACTCCACTCTCCAAACAAGTCGCGTCCTTGGTATCCATGGTAACCACACAGCGGCTTCCAACCTGCCCCTTCGACTCTTCCCATTGGTCAGTTGGATTAAGTCCCTTGACCAATGGGCTTGGAGCAACGGCAAGACTCGTCTACCAATCGGCTCTTGTCAATCTGTCGCACTGCCTCCTGGGATATGTAGTTCAAATGGCCCAGGGTACTTTGATGTCTAGCCCCGTTAGAACTACACGTCCCAGCGGCCTCCGCCAAAGGGGCGGAAGAAGGCTAAGAGTCCGGGTCAGGTGTCCACCAGGCACTTTGAAGTTCTAATTTTTAACCGGGTTTGCAGCTGCAAAGCCGTCGCCTTCCAGGCTGACCCGAGGCAGCCTCGGGGTTCTGGCGCTCGGGCGCCCAGGGCGGGCATGTTGGGCCGTCTCCCGCCATGTGCGCTACGAGCGCGGCTGGGCGCCTGGTTCGGGGCTCCCGGGGCCCGGTCGTGCGTTTCCGACGGGGATCGGCGGGGATCGGCTCCCCACGGGCCTCGGAGGGAGTGGACGCTGCCGGTGAGCCCGTTCGGGCGGCTGAAGGCGCGGCTCCCGTGCCACCTGCTCGTGCGGCCCCTGGATCCCCACGCGCACCCGGGCGGCGACCGCGTGCAGGTGGCGGTGTGCGGCGTGGGGCTCGAGGCGGGCGGCCTGGACTCCCTGCAGGTCGAGTACGACGCTGCCCGGCAGGAGATGGCCATCCTGTCCGACGACATCGACCCCCGGGCGTCGGTGGAGGTGAACGCGCCCGTCAAGTTTGGCAAGTGAAGTGGAGACGGGTGTGGGGCGTAGCACCGCTGTCTTAGGTTTCTTCCCATCCTGTTTTCTGACTTAATTGGCCCCATTCAGGAGCCCTCTTTTCTAAAGTGACACTCTTGGATTCCCGAATAGTATCCAAGAGTCAGGATCCCAGTTTAAGTTAAAACCGAATGGAAGCATGACTTGGAATAAGCAAAGTCTAATGACTTTGTGGAGACCCCGTGTTCTTCTTTGGCCACAGCCATTAGCAAAATGATTCGTCGTTTAGTGCTGAGGTTTTTGATAACCTATTCAGTGACTCGGTGTCCACCTTGTTCACATCGTGGGGCTGGCTTCCTCCTCAGCTCTGTATATAGCTGCCTCATTACTAACCCGGAAAAACGTACTTGCTTTCCAGCAGACACCCAAGCTAGTAGGTCTGCCCGTTCTTTTAGGCGTAAGTAAATTCTCTGGGAGTAGCGAGCTTTGAAGCGATTAGTAAGGCTGCCTGGGAAAATTCATAATAGTACCTACAAAACATATTTCTTAGATATTTGGGTCCCGTTGTTTCCCAGATGCAAGTAGACACGTCCTTTTCTAGGAAGGCTTCCCCAGGCCGCCATTCTTCCTGGAGCAGAAGGACGATGATGATAACAGCATTTACCTAGCATGAGGTTATTTTTATTAACCTTGACAGTCGCGCTATAGAGTAGATACTCATTGTTACCATTTTAGATGAGGAAATTCAGACATTAGGAAATGTCATAAAACAAGTAATATAAATGAACAAACAAGAAACCCAGGGGTGTTATGAAACTTACTTTCTAGAAGCCTTTTCCACCTGAAATACAAAGAGATGGAGCTAGGGTTTGAGCTGGCTGGAATGGCTCAGCTGTTATGCTCTTTTGCATCTCAACTAACCGAGATGAGTGAGAGGATGTGCCCTCCAAATCTAATAACTTGAAGGTGCTGGAGAGGCTCTACCACATACAGATTAAGGTGTTGTCTTAGGGTTTCTGTTGCTGTGAAGAAACACCATGACGGCAATCAGAGGTTCAGTCCGTAATCATCATGGTGGGACATGGCGTCCAGGCAGCCATGGAGAGGTAGTGGAAAATTCTACAACTTGTGCAGGCAGCAGGAAGTGGTCTGTCTCACTGGGCGTGACTTGAACATAGGAGACCTCAAAGTCCACCCCTACAGTGATACACTTCCTCGAACAAGGCCACACCTCCCATTAGTGCCACTCCCTTTGGGAGATGTTTTCTTTCAAGCCACCAGAGGTGGGTATCAACAGAGAGCTAAACAAAGCTTAAGACAGCACCTTTGAAAATGGATGCTACCTCCGCTGGCAATCCCAGATCTCGTTAGCTCTAACCAGAAGCCTGTTTCCAGTGTACTGTCTCCAGGCCTGTGTTCCATAGGTCTCTCTAATCTATATAGCTAGTTATTTGTTCTTCTGACTTGCGGAGGAGTGACTGAGTGGACTGGACATAGCATCACTGCTGTGGTGTCCAGCCTCAGCTCTTCATCTGAGCATCTCCCCAAAGAGCAGAGCGTGTGCAGAATCCCATTCCTCTTCTGTGTGTTTGTCAGGGCTGCCTATCTCTTGCTGTGTGACAGGATTCAGTTGTGTGGTTATGATCGTATCAGCATTTGACTTTTTATTCTCTTTTCTTCTCGCTCAGCGTGTTGTTGCTAATTTAAACCATTGCAATGCAACTGAGGAGATTCCTTCTGTAAATATTAGAGTTGTGGCATTGGGTCCCAATAACTTGCTTGGGTGGAACATAAGGCTCGGGTTTTTTTTCTTTTTTTTATCAGTTTCATACAAGCTAGAGTCACCTGGAAGAGAGAGCCTAGCCTCAATTGAAAAAGAAGGATGCCTTCATCAGACTGGCCTGTAGGCAAGACTGTGAAGCAGTTTTTGATGTATGGTTGATGTGGGAGTGCCCAGCCCACTGTGGTTGTCCTGGTTTGTATAAAGAAAGCCTGCTGAGAGAACCATGGAGAGCAAGGCAGTGTTGTCTGTGGTCTCTGTTTCAGTTCCTGCTTTGAGTTCATCCCGACTCCCCTTCGTGATGGACTGTGAGCTATGAGATAAACCCTCTCCTTCCACAATGGTTTTGGCCAGCGTTTTATCTCAGCAACAGTAACTAGGACAATAGTATTTATTGCTGTACTCTGGGAATCATTGATATTGATGTGAACTGTGTATTCATTATCACTGTTTAGAATCTTGTTGTTGTTTAGTCTGTTGAGACAGAATCTCTCTACAGAGCCTCCACTGTCCTGAACTCACTATGTGACTAGGCTGAGACTGATTCCTATTTTTCAAACTTTCCTCAAAAACACTCTTATTTATCCACAATATTGTAGCTTTAGTTCTTCTTATCACTAGGTTTTAGAAAGGGGTTCTGGTTATTAAAACTTGTTTCAAGTACCCTGTGATATAGCTGTATGGCAATAATCCCATTCTGTGCTTGTGAAAGGCAGGAGTAGAATCTGAACGCCTGAGTCACGATCACATACTCTGACCCATGCTGTTGTGATATGCTTCTGATTAGGGGATCAGTATTTCAAATCTTCTGGAACGTAGGTCAAGGCTAGCCGACCTTCCTGACATTTGGTGACTCGTTAGTTCACTGCCGTGTCCTTCGTCCTTTGTGTGGGTTCTTTAGATGAGCTGGGAGCTCCTAAACTATTGCACATGAGGCCTGAGTACCAGCCTGTAAGAACGGCCATCTCTGCCCCTTTATCCTCTCTTTAGATCAGACAAGCCAGGAGATATAGTCTCTAGAGGCCGTTGGAAAGGCCCTGCATTTGGTCCTGCTGCGTGGTAACGACTCTCACTTTCAGGGAGAAATGACACCACTCTTCCCAGTACTGCAGTGAATCCCTGAGGACCTGGTATCTGGGGATATTAAGATGCTCTCAGACCAGGCACTCACTTCTTCCTTCTTTCTGCTTTTGCTTCTAGATTTGAATATCGAGTTGTTGGAGTCTGGCTCTGTAAAGGTACAGAATGTTGAATGTGATCGCTGTGAAATCAGAACTGCACAGGGGACCAGCGTCTTGGAGGCTGTGAAGGTGAGTGTTTCTCACTCTGTTCCAGTGGTAAAAATACTTTCAACTGTAAAGCACAGAAACAAATACAAGACTTAATTAGTATTCAAATTATCATTCATCTTTTAGAAAGTCTTAAAATATGTGGCTATTTCATTAATTTTTTAAAAAAAAACATGAAATGCTTCACAAATTTGTGTCATCCTTGCACAGGGACCATGCTAATCTTCTCTGTATTGTTCCAATTTTAATGTATGTGCGCCAAAGTGAGCACTGTTTCTCTCATTTTTAATATACCAGAAGCTCTTTACTGGAGTACAAGACAGCTAATTTTACAGAACAACAGATAATTCATCTATTTTTTAGTTAACAATTTTACATCCATTTCTCTTAAAATGAGATTGGTCTTAGCCATAAATGTTTTAAATTATACCTCCACTAGAGAGTTTGCTGGTATTTCTGTAGCAGGCTCTCTTCTGGGGGCCACTAACCAGCTCCCAAATAATGACGTGGAGATCTGTTAGTTATGGATGCTTGGCCTTAGCTTAGGCTCTTTTCCTGCTAGCGCTTATAACTTAGCCCATTTCTCTTCATCTATGTCTCACCTCAGGGCTTTTTGCCTCTCTTTCCTTCCGTGTGTCTCGCTGCTTCTCATGTCTGCCTGGCGTGGACGTCTGCTTACAGCGTCACACATTAGAGAGACTCCGGAAATCCACTTCAGCTGAGAGCTTCAGATATGGAAGCAGAGCTACTTTTGAAGAGTTCTAGAAAGTTCGTTAATAACCTGGGTTTCAGGTTCACACCTGTGACCGTGCTGTGTTAACCACCCTGTTAAGACAAACCCTTGTGAGAACAGTTGGTTTCGCTCTTTCATACTTCCCTTACAACTGATTCCTGGCCTATTTTATGGACATGCACAGAAGAAAATGTTCCGTAGTATTGTGCAAGTTTACTCACTACCCTCTGTGGGTTTTGTTTTGTTTTGTTTTGTTTTTCAGAGCCAAAATTTGCATGTTCAAACGAAAGGAGGCAACGTGATCTGTCTGGGAACGGTTTACGGAAACATAGACATCCAAGCCTCACACCACAGTGTAAGATTGAAACTCAGGGGCCTCAGCGCTGCTGCCGAGCCTCCCAAAGGGAAGCTTCCATAGGATTTGCTATGAATGTTTTCTTCTTAGTGCAAGCTCATGTTTGGAAGTGAAGTGGTTAAAGCTTGTAATATAAGTTTTAGTGTGTGATTTAATACCTTTGATAGTTAATTTAGTTCATTATAATCGGTAAACAGTTCATATTTAATTCGGACTTGTCTCTTTAGAGACTTTTATTTTGATGGTCATGAATTGTAAGTAATTCCACTTATGGGAACTGGGATTTGTGTAGGTGCTGTATTTCCTTGAACACTGTGTTCTCCCTGGCTCGCTGCTGTCTGACCGATCGTGGGTCAGTTCTGAGATACGCGTGCAGTTATGACAGCACTGATTAGAGGACATGATGTCGGGAGAGGCAGCAAGACAGCAGGGCCTCTGGATGAGCTGGAGGTGGAATGAGCGGTTGATAGGCTCAAAATCCGTCATGTACTCAGAGAATTCATATAAAAATTGAAAAAGCATCTGAAATCAGCTCTAGTGTTTCCACAAGATGGCGCTGGGAGACAGAACCACCGTCCCCAAAGCCCCGCCTCAGAGATTTGCTGTCACAGAAAGATGGTGTGTTTTGTAAGCTGTTTTCTTGCTTCCAGTTGTTTCTCATGCTGCTAACAGGAAAGTTAAGGTCTGGGGACTGTGACTTCTCGGTTGCTGCTGTGATGGGTAGTGTTTTGGAGCTTACAAAATAATCAGAGGTTATGAGCTTATCCTGTAGCTCGTTGCTGGCAGTTTTTAAAAATGATCACATGGTGTTTATTCATTTATTTGTGTGAGTGTGAGTGTGTGTGCACAGTGCAGGTGTGCACGCGCGCCAGAGTGCACACGTGGGGGTCAGAGGGACACTAGTAGGAGTTGGTGCTCCCCTTCTCCCATCTGGGTTGTTAGACTTGGCAGCAGCTGCTCACGGGGATCTGCTGGCTCCTTGTGGTGCAGTGGCGTCAGGGGGGCTGTGGCGTTGTCTCTGCTGGTGCAGAGGAGTCAGGTGGGCTGTGGCATTGTCTCTGCTGGTGCAGAGGAGTCAGGTGGGCTGTGGCATTGTCTCTGCTGGTGCAGTGGACTCAGGTGGGCTGTGGCATTGTCTCTGCTGGTGCAGAGGAGTCAGGTGGGCTGTGGCATTGTCTCTGCTGGTGCAGAGGAGTCAGGTGGGCTGTGGCATTGTCTCTGCTGGTGCAGTGGACTGGGGGCTGTGGCATTGTCTGGTGCAGTGGACTCAGGGGGGCTGTGGCATTGTTCCTGCTGTTGTCAATTTCCCATTACTTTTTTTCTGAGAATCTGTGGGAAGTTGTTAAAACAAGTATTTAAATATATGATAAACTTTTTAAATTAAACTAGGCAAGTGTTTCCAGAGCCTGTAGCCTTATGTCATGCCCTTGGAGATGACCCTTAGCTTTTTTTCAGTCAGATTACCACCTCCGTAGAAGTACAACAGTCAACCCTTGCAGTAATGTGTAGTGTTACGTGTGATATTACATGTGATGCCACCATAAGATCCCATGTTTTCTGTGGGGGTCAACACTGGTGTCTTTCTCAAGTGCTCTTCACCTTGTTTCTGGAGACAGTTTCTCACTGAACCGGGAGCTCTGGACTTTGGCGACGCAGTGAGCTCTGGGATCTGCTATGCCCACCTTTCCCGCACAGGGGCTATAAACTGGTGGTACTAGGTTCACATGGGTGCTGGGGATCCAGACGCGGGGCCCGTGCTTGACTGGTGAGCACTGTACTAATGAGCTGTGTCTCCAGCCCCAGAATTACAAGCTTTCCATCAGAGATGGCCACGTTAGTTGTTAATTTGTCCTGATTGACATGGGTACCAAACATTTCTTCACTCCTACTTCCTGTGGAACTTTCGTTTCTTTCTTGAGTATGGTGATGTGCTCAAGACTTAGTATAGATATTTTTCTATTTTTCCTTTTAAAACATTTAAAAGTTTATTTAAAAACATAAAAAATATAATTACTGGTTAACAGCACATATTGAGGATTAAACTTCCTGACTCAACCACTTACTACGTCTTGAGACTTAAGACAAGTTACTTAACATTTCTGTGTCTCAATTTTCTGGAAAATGTGGTCACAGTAATGGAGCTGTCTGAGAAGACTGATAGAAAGATTCAGGCATTACTGCAGGGAAGGGGCTGCCTGTGACACAGCGCTTGCCTGCCGTGAGGATGAAGGAAGAGCCGTAGGAGAGATCACCGGCACTTCCCTGCCCTGCTTGGCGCTGTTTGAAAGGAAGTATCAGTGCACTTACGCAGACGAGATGATGAAATTAAATGGACATCATAAACAACAGGACTGTCAGTGGTGTGGCTGTTTTAAATGGTATTATTAATTTCAGAATTGGCCTTTTATAAATTGAGAAAGCATAGATAGTTTATATGGCTGCAGGTTAACCTGATAAGTAACACTTGTCACTTCTGACTACAGAGTCACAGTGCTTCCTAAATACTTGATTTTTGTTACTTGTAAGAAGTGTGTGTGTGTGTGTGTGTGCGTGTGTGTGTGTGCGCGCGTGTGTGCATGTGTGTGCATAATGACCAAGTGTAGGGAAAAATCCCTCCTTATGTTAAAATTAATTTTAGCAATACCTCTCAGGAAGGTATTTATTTTCTGATCTACCTTTTGTCCTCTCTTTAAATAATTTCTATTAAAAATCAGAGTGTACAGTTTAATGTAGGCAATCTGCATGTGATACTTTTATCCAGTAATATTTTTGACTGCAAATAAGATTTTTGTCAATATTTTGCTGTAAACTGAGCTAACCCAAATTTAATTTTTCTAATTTGTGACCCTGGGAGAATTTAGGGTTTCTGGGAAATTGTATGAATGATTGGCAGCTGTGCTGTGCTGGGGTTTTACTTGCTTTCGTTGGCGTTGGTTGTCAGTGTGTTTTCTGGCTTCCTGGGGGTGTTTTTCACTTTTAATGAACAGTATTGATCCTTGGTACTTTCCAGACCCTCATAAAGAGTATCTGGAAATCCAGCTTTATTCACGTGGTAGCAGGCAGTGTCTAGGTAGAAGTGCTCCTTAGCTGATTCAGGGTGCTTTAAATGTTCCAGTAAATGTTCTTCTTTTGGTGTAAAACAGCCCCGTTCCCTGTTGAAAGGCCAGAATATTCCATTTTGTTGCCTGTTTTATAGAAATTCTTGGAGAGTATGAACATTAAGCAAGTTTTCATGAGTAGAGTTTGTAGGTAAAGACTTTTTTGTTGGAAGGTTGTTTCTCTTTCTCTCCCCCCCCCCCCCCACCTCTTTTTTCCAGTTTTCGAGACAGGGTGTCTCTTGTAGCCCTGCTGGCTCTCAGTCCGTAATCAACTTAAGATAAACAAGTAGTTAAAAAGCAATGTGGTAGTTAAAAATACAAGAAGTTACGCACTGTGAATCCAGAGGGGAAGCAGTTTTACCGTATGCCCCTAAGACCCACTAAGTACTTTTCTTTCTTGTTTTATACTATCGTCTGTAGTATTTCATTCTTGAAACTCGATCTTGTTTGCTAACATTTGTTAGCATTCTTTACAGTTTTTGGAAAGCTCGTGAGGAGGGATGAAGCCGGTGTCATTGTGTTCAAACAGCAGTACTGCTGGTTTCAATGCCCCATGTACTACTTCAAACTGTTCCTGGGCAGAACAGTGGCAAGCCATCATAGTAACTGAGTGTGTGGTACCAACACTTTCATATTAACACGTTTGTTTATAACATGGTAGAGATGATGTGGAATTCCCAACTGTCTTTGTTTTACATGCAAACATTATTTGAAACAAACACATACTGAATTTTGTTAGGGACATTTAAGGACGAATAAGAATTCCTCTCACTTTGTTCACTGGAAAGCGACTGCCTTATTAAATGCAAAGTGGAAAAGTTTTAGAAGGTTATAGTTATTACATCAACACGTGAGAAAAGCCACGTAGCTCAGCAGCATCTAAGCAGGTGAGGCTCAAAATGCATTCATGAGATTAATATAGGGATGGCAGTACATTGGATTATTAATCAGATGAAAGATACACACAGGGCACCTTCTGTAACAAGCATCTCCCTGCTGTTACTGTTGAAATGGAAGATGGATTCAGACATAAGAAAAGCACAGGGAACGTAATCAGTATAAGAATGTGTAATAGAAGCGGGGGA